CTGGCATTTTGCATGATGTACTTTACACATAAGTAAAATAAGCAGGGTGGCAATATTCAGCTTTGAAGTACTCCTTTCCCAATTTGGAACCAGTGCATTGTTCCATATCCAGTTCTAATTGTTGTTCCTTGACCTGCATACAGATTTCTCAGGAGGCAAGTAAGATGATCTGGCATTCTGATCTCTTCAAGAATTTTCATTTGTTGTGATCCAGACAGTCAAAGGCTTTGGGATAGTTAATAAGGTAGAAGCAGATGTTTTTCTGAACTATTTTTTTTTTTCTATGATCCAATGGATGTTGCCAATTTAATCTCTGGTTCCTCTGCCTTTTCTAAATCCAGTTTGAATACCTGGAAGTTCTTGGTCCATGTACTGTTGAAGCCTCGCTTGGAGAATGTTGGGCACTACTTTACTAGCATGTGAGAATAGTGCAATTGTGCGGTAATTTGAACATTCTTTGGCATTGCCTTTCTTTTGGATTGGTGTGAAAACTGATCTTTTCCAGTCCTGTGGCCATTGCTGAGTTTTCCAAATTTTCTGGCATATTGAGTGCAGCACTTTCGCAGTATCATCTTTTAGGATTTGAAATAGCTCAGCTGAGATTCCATCACCTCCACTAGCTTTGTTTGTAGTGAAGCTTCATAAGGCCCACGTGACTTTCACACTTCAGACATTCACAGGATGTCTGGCTCTAGGATAGTAATCACTCCTTTGTGGTTATCTGGGTCATGAATATCTTTTTTGTATAGTTCTTCTGTGTATTCCTGCCACCTCTTCTTAATATCTTCTGCCTCTGTTAGGTCCACACCTTCTCTGTTCAGTCCATACATTCTCTGTTCTTTATTGTGCCCATCTTTGCATGAAATGTTCCCTTGGCATCTCTAATTTTCTTGAAGGGCTCTCCAGTCTTTCCCATTGTATAATTTTCTTCTACTTCTTCACATTGATCACTTAGGAGTGCTTTCTTATCTCTCCTTGCTACTCTTTGGAACTCTGCATTCAGATGGATACATCTTTCCTTTTCTCCTTTGCCTTTACAAGTGTTTAAGTTACACCAAAACTGAAAATGCTTGATGGTGTATAACATGTGATCCAGTTTTGAGTGTCAGGTCACTGGCAATATTGATATGAGATTGGAAAATCACAGATGGATGACTAGGAGGTATAGGGATGCCTCTTTCACTTTTATGCCTTATGAGCAGTATTTGTTTTCTGTGACTATTGTACAAATTACCACAAATTAGCTGGCTTAAAACAATAGAAAGTTATGCTCTTACAGTTCTGGAGGTGAGAATTCTGAAATCAATGCCACATAGCCAAATTCAACGTATTGTCAGGGACATACTTCCCACAGTACAATAACAAAAAGTCTATTCTTTACCTCCTTTGTCTCTGGCATTACTGGCATTCTTTGTTTCATGCGCACATCACTGCAGTTTTCAAGATTGGAATCCTCAAACCTCTCTATTTTCCATCTTCATATTGCCTTGTCCTCTGTGCATCTATTTCAAATTTCCCTCTGCCTTTCTGTTATAAGGATCCTTGAAATTACATTTAAGTTTTGTTGGGATGATCCAGGATAATCTCCTATGTCAATATCTTTAATTTAACCACATCTGCAAAGACTTTGTCATAGATGTCATATTTACAGGTTCCAGGAATTAGGACATGGATAGCTCTCTGTGGTCCATTTCAACCCATCACCTGGGAATGAGACAGTATAATTCTAGCAGAGAAAATGTATCTAAAAAAAACTTGCAAAATGAATGAAAAAATCACTCCTTTTTCTGGTACAGAATTCCATTTTCTCTTTTATACTGAATTATTTCTCCAACTGTGAAAAAACAGTTGCCAAACCAATAACCCTTCTCCAATGCTTCCTTGAACTATAGCTCAAGTAATGTCCTGAGCTACTTCTTCTTAGTTTAATTTCCCTTGAGAGCTAAGACCTCAAACTCTATCATGCTGTTATTCTTTCTTTTATCCATTCCATAAACAAGTATTGAGTAAAGATTCTATGAGGGCTAGGAGTTCGTGGAAAGTAAAAAAAGAACACATGATAAGTAATAAAATAAATACTGAAATACTAAGACTTGTTTTAAAACCACTCACCAAACATTTATCAAATACCCAGTGTAGTTATAATTGCTAAATTATTGAGTACAATCCTCAAGTCTAAGAGCTTTTCCCTGGAGGTTGGAGGTGATACAGGAAAGGGATGGAACAAAATGATGTAGCAATAATTGATAATATACTGTTGAGTATATTCAGAAGGTTGTAATCTGGGGATGTCAGCAGTTTGGTCTATTTGTCTTTCAACATCTTGCTCTTCCTGTTACTTTTTCAGGCAATCAAGTGCACAGAGATCATGAGAAACTTGAGTGGAGACTACATAGTAGAGTTTGTTTTGGTGGGCTTCCCTACCTCCCCACCCCTTCAGCTGCTCCTCTTTGCACTCTTCCTTGCAATTTTTTTATTGACATTGTTGGAGAATGCACTCATTGTTTCCACCATTTGGCTCACTCCAAGCCTTCATCGCCCAATGTACTTTTTCCTTGGCCATCTCTCCTTTCTGGAGCTATGGTATATCAATGTCACTGTTCCCCGACTCTTGGGGGCATTTCTTACCCAGGAGCATAGAGTCTCCTATGTAGGTTGTATGACCCAACTCTATTTCTTCATTGCCTTAGCCTGCACCGAATGTGTCCTGTTGGCAGTCATGGCCTATGACCGCTACCTGGCCATCTGTGAACCTCTCCGTTATCCTAGTCTCATGCCCTTCAGTATGGCCACTCGCCTTGCTGCTTTCTCTTGGGGTAGTGGCTTCTTCAGCTCCATGATGAAGCTTCTTTTCATTTCCAAATTGTCATACTGTGGATCCAATATCATCAACCATTTTTTCTGTGACATCTCTCCACTACTTAACCTCACCTGCTCTAACAAGGAACAAGCAGAACTAGTAGACTTCCTCTTGGCCCTGGTGATGATTCTGCTCCCTCTATTGGCCGTGGTTTCATCATATGCTGCCATAATCGCCACTATCCTGAGGATTCCTACTGCCCAGGGACGTCACAAAGCCTTTTCCACATGTGCCTCTCACCTGGCAGTGGTTGTTATCTACTACTCCTCCACTCTCTTTACCTATGCACGGCCCCGGGCCATGTACACCTTCAACCAAAGCAAAGTCATCTCTGTGCTCTATGCTGTCATTGTACCATGTCTCAACCCAGCCATTTACTGCCTGAGGAACAAGGAAGTAAAGGATGCCCTCAGAAAGACAGTGCTGGGTAGGTGCCCCTGTTCCAGGGATATCCCAGATTGGTGTACCTGACAAAAAAGGAGCAGTATCCTAATAGTGACATATCAAAGAATCACAAAATAGGCTTAACAGGACCAAACTAGCAGTTAGCACACTGCTTCTTTAAATAGTGTTAGGAAACTTTTTGATACAAACAAAAAATCGTGAATCATTGATCTTATACAAGAGTTTCCAAACTAATATTGAAGTGGTTATATAAGAATCTCTGGGAGGTTGTTAAAATGTGTATTCCCAGAAAAATCTATGGAGAATCTGATAGAGTATGCACTGTTTGTCTATGGTAAAGAACCCACCTTCAAGTGCAGGAGACATAAGAGACATGGGTTTGATCCCTAGTTAGGTAAGATGCTCTGGAGGGGAGCATGGCAACCCACTCCAGTGTTCTTGCCTTGAAAATCCAGTGGCCAGATGAGCCTGGTGTGCTACAGTCCATGGGGTCTCAAAAAGCTGGACACAACTGAAATTACTTAGTACACATGCCTTGTTTGCAACCCTGACATGCATAATTTTCAACATTTTAAGAAATCTTATTTCACAGCCAGTTTGAGACTCTTTACTCTAGACCAATGCTATTATTTCGTGAGTGAGAAAATAGGTAATAAAAGGGACTTGCTGATGCGTATGTCAAGATAAAATGATATAGAAATTGTTGTAGCACTTTCAAGGATTCAAATTCTCAGATCCTAATTCTGTGAGAATCGCAAAAGTACAATTAAACCTCCCAAACTGAAACTAATGTCACCTAATGCATAGTCCTTATCTCTACAAGTCTTATACTCACTGCAAGTCAAAGGAGGAAGAAAATGCAGCACTGGTATTCAGCCATGTGTGCAACAATTAATATGGATAAATAGTCATCTGTATCTCCTTCATGTTAATTGAAGAGTGATGCACAGCTTGTTGACCTAATGAGTGCTGGTTAGGTAGTAGATCAAACGCATTAGGGGACTTTTATGTACCTTGGCCTCTGAATCTTCCCCAGCACCATGGCCAATTTCTGTTTCAACTAGCTGCTGCCTGAATTATACCAGCTGCCAGATATTTTACATTTTGCCACTGGGGCAAATGACTACAGGAGCAGAAAATGTCTTAATAAAGAGGCAAGATTGGGGAACAAGAGACATCTCTGCAGTGAGTGGTATGCTTCTGGTTCAAAACCAGAATGATAAACATTCTTCTAAGTTCTCTTTACTTTTGGAAACTAGCTTGACTTACTTAGAAAGTAATTCCAGTTCCAGGCTAATTTCTACACAGTAGAACTGAAATCAATGTTTCTTTGAGTGGGATATGTAAAAGAACAAAAAATGCTATTGATCAAACACTCATAAACAGAAATTGTCTCTCACTGGACACTTGCTTATTCTGAACTGGACTTTGGAAAATAAGATAATTGTCCATTAAATAAAAAACTGCTTGATCAATAATCATTTTAGGTTTTCTAACATCTAAAATAACATAACCCCAAAATAATAAATCTGACATTTAAAAGTATAAGCAGATTTGCTTTCATTAAGTTTCTGAATAGCCTTTTAAAGAAACATCCTTGAGGGACTTCTCCTGTAGTCCAGTATTTAAGACACTGGGCTGCCAGTGCAGGAGTTGTAGGTTAGATCCCTTGTTGGGAAATATGGCATAGTAAAAAAACAAAAAAACAAAAACACACATGGAAGCAAATCTTTGACTTTGGGCATAGCCAATGGATTCTTACATATGACACCAAAAGAACAAGTAATAAAACAATACATAAGCTGGACCAAATAAAAATTTTTTAAAAATACATGAGAATTAAAAAACATTCTTGAGATTGGCTTAATTTACCTTACATTCATTACATTATCCTTTTGTTTGTTTCATACATTTATGGAAAGCATAATTTTATGGTTAAGGATTCCACCCCTAGAGCCAAGAAATTTGGAATCTAAAGGAGGAAGAAAATGCAGCACTGGTATTCAGCCATATGTGCAACAATTAATATGGATAAATAGTCATCTGTATCTCCTTCATGTTAATTGAAGAGTGATGCACAGCTTGTTGACCTAATGAGTGCTGGTTAGGTAGTAGATCAAACGCATTAGAGAACTTTTATGTACCTTGGCCTCTGAATCTTCCCCAGCACCATGGCCAACTTCTGTTTCAATTAGCTGCTGCCTGAATTATACCAGCTGCCAGATATTTTACATTTTTCCACTGGGGCAAATGACTACAGGAACAGAAAATGTCTTAATAAAGAGGCAAGATTGGGGAACAAGCGACATCTCTGCAGTGAGTGGTATGCTTCTGGTTCAAAACCAGAATGATAAACATTCTTCTAAATTCTCTTTACTTTTGGAAACTAGCTTGATTTACTTAGAAAGTAATTCCAGTTCCAGGCTAATTTCTACACAGTAGAACTGAAATCAATGTTTCTTTGAATGGGATATGTAAAAGAACAAAAAATGCTATTGATCAAACACTCATAAACAGAAATTATCTCTCAGTGGACACTTGCTTATTCTGAACTGGACTTTGGAAAATAAGATAATTGTCCATTAAAAAAAAAAAACTGCTTGATCAATAATCATTTTAGGTTTTCTAACATCTAAAATAACATAACCCCAAAATAATAAATCTGACATTTAAAAGTATAAGCAGATTTGCTTTCATTAAGTTTCTGAATAGCCTTTTAAAGAAACATCCTTGAGGGACTTCTCCTGTAGTCCAGTATTTAAGACACTGGGCTGCCAGTGCAGGAGTTGTAGGTTAGATCCCTTGTTGGGAAATATGGCATAGTAAAAAAACAAAAAAACAAAAACACACATGGAAGCAAATCTTTGACTTTGGGCATAGCCAATGGATTCTTACATATGACACCAAAAGAACAAGTAATAAAACAATACATAAGCTGGACCAAATAAAAATTTTTTAAAAATACATGAGAATTAAAAAACATTCTTGAGATTGGCTTAATTTACCTTACATTCATTACATTATCCTTTTGTTTGTTTCATACATTAATGGAAAGCATAATATTATGGTTAAGGATTCCACCCCTAGAGCCAAGAAATTTGGAATCATTCTGGTTTTACCCTTAACATGTCCCTCATAATGTGAGTTATGCATCTACCTCATATGCATGTTGTGAATATTAAATTAATTGTATGTGACAGTAGGATTACAAAATCTTTTCTCTTTGTAGATAAATTTTACCTTGGATTATCTTCTTTCTTCCCCAGCTTTATTGATAATAGAATTGAAATATACATATATATATAAGATATTTAAAGTGTTCCGTGTGATGATTTGTTATACATATACATATTGTGAAGTGTTTCCCTGGTGGCTCAGATAGTAAACAATCTGCCTGCAATGCAGGAGACCCAAGTTCAATCCCTGGGTCAGTAAAATCCACTGGAGAAGGGAATGGCTACTCACTCCAATATTTTTGCCTGGAAAACTCCATGGACAAAGACTTGGGTACGACTGAGCAACTAACACTATATTAACTATATATATTGTGAAATGATTCACTTCGGGTTTACTTTATATTTCTAGTCTGTTGGAAGCTTGCTAAATACTGCTAAGAAACATTGCTCATGAGCCAAATATCTCTTGATTAGAAAAAGTCTTCTGGACTGGGAGTATTATAAATATTCAGTGGTCAGAGCTTCATGATGCTGAGAAAGATTGAAGACAGGAGGAGAAAGGGATGACAGAGGATGAGATGATTGGATGGCATCACTGACTCAATGAACATGAGTTTGAGCAAGTTCTGGGAGATGATGAAGTACAGGGAAGCCTGGCATGCTGCACTCCATAGGGTTACAAAGAGTCGGACACAACTGAGTGACTGAACAGCAACAATTTTTATAACTTGGCATGTCTTTTGCAGGAAACTCTGGTTGCCCAGGAAACTGTTGTAAGAGATATTGGCTCTTGTGCACCTTGAGGAGTAAAGTCAAGATGGCTCAAGCACCGCTTTGTGTGAATCACATGTCCTCACACCTGTGCTATGACTTTGCATCCAGATTAGCCCCTCATCTGCTTTCAGCACTCCTTCCACCTAAGAGAAATCCCTCAATATGTCATGCTGCCATGCTGTGTTTTTATCCTACAATTCTCCAAGTAAAATTGTTTCCAAGTGTGACCTTTTGTAGTGTGTGAGTTTGATTGTTTGGTAAAGCCTAAGAAGTTCTGGCTTATGAATAGCTCACAGTGAGCACTCAGTTAATGTTAAGCCCCTGATATATGTCAATTGTTTCTCAAAAATAAAAATTGGAAAAAATGAATGCTGAGCCCTCATGTTTATTTTCATTAACAATTTGATTATATGTTTTCTAACAGATGTGCCGGTTCTAAATACTAACCATGCATCACATTCACTTGTTCAAATGGAGATGGGCAGATTGACTGGGTTCTCTATGACATAAATGGAAAGTAAAAGTACAAACATCCTTGTGTAATTATGTGTAGATGGTAATAAGTTTAGCATTTCCAATTATCTAATTTAAAATTATGCCAAGCTGTCATTAGGTTGAGTCAGTGAAGTTCACACTCCTTTTCAAATGATCAGAATATATGATAACTCTTTGTTAGAATATTAAACATAGAACATTTTTCTCCTCAATTATTTTGGTCTTTGATTTTTGTCTAGATACTCATACATATTTGTCTACATGTTAAAAGAGGAAGAGAGAGAGAATGTCAACTGATAATATCCTCTCTGTATGACTCTTGTCATGTCACATTCTTTCTTGAAGCGAAGATGACCCTCCTAATTTATTTTTTCCTCGAGAGTGAGATTTCTACAGTGCAATAATTAGTGTAGATACTTTATTTTTCAACATTTTTTTTTTTTAACTGAAAACATGTTGAACTCAAATAATGAATCTGTTTCTCTTTGCCAGGTATTAGATTTATCACCTCTTCTGGCAGTTAGGCCCTGGAGAAGGAAATGGCAACCCACTCCAGTATTCTTGCCTGGAAAATCCCATGGATTTTCCTGGTTGGCTACAGTCCATGGGGTCGCAAAGAGTCAGATATGATTGAAGCGAATGAGCACAGCACACTTTATTTTGTTTTGTTTAGGTTATAAATGTGTTCTCAGTATAGCCAACTTTTTACCAGAGAGGGGTAATAGAAAAGGAACAAAGAAGTAGCAGTCAAGTTAATTATGATTTTTTTTTAAATAAAATCGTCAATCTCCTTTAAAATGGAAGAACTGTTCATCACATTTGACTAAAACTGTTCCTATATTTAAAAAGCATAAATTGTGTGATTATTTATTTTTCATAAAATGCTGCATAGAAAGCACAAAATCTGATTATCTGCCTCAAAAATTTTTAACTTAAAAGAGGAAATAGAAAATGTGTAATTTTCAGAAACTATTATAAAATATGAGGAAAAATATTCCCCCAGTAAACTTTAACTTATTCATTTAAAAATTACTCTATTTTTTCTTACTAAAGCTGAATGCATGTTTGTCTTGAATATTTCTCTAGAGTCAGACACATTATAGTATATAAGCTCTACTTTTTCTCATTCAATTCAAGGTGTAATTTCTACCAAATTTTTTTTCAATATCACTATTTTTTTTTCTTTTCTAGAACAGGAGACAATAAAGAGAAAACTTAAAATTCCATTTTTACTTTGAGTATTCAGAGCTCTAACTACAATTTTTTTTTTTTTTTTTTGCACCAAGGAATAGTGTTTGGGACCCCATGGACTACAATTGCCAGACTCCTCTGTCCATGGAATTTCCCAGGCAAGAATACTGGAGTGAGTTGCCATTTCCTCTTCCAGGGTATCTTCCTGACACAGGGATCGAACCCACATCTCTTGCCTCTCCTGCTTTGGCAGGCGGATTCTTTACCACTGTGCCACCTGGGAAGCCCAAGCACCAAAGAATGACTATATACAATTATAACAACAACAACAAAAGACATATTTTTCTTTTTTAATCAGTTCTAAATTCACAATAGTAGCTACAAAGTTTTTTTTTTGTTTGTTTGTTTTGTTTTTTTAATTCTGAGATAGTAATTGTACTTTTATCAATATATCTTGCCATAATAGTACATAGTCAATCAGGTCCTTTGCCACTTTGTTATTTTCCTCTGTATTAATGTTATACATTTACTATGGCATATAAATAAAATGGACAAATCACTCATCCCTAACTCAACAGAGTTTTAGGTGCTTACTCAGCACCAGACATGTATTAGGAACTGGACAATGTGTCTACCTTTGAGAACTCTTAAAAATCCAGTGATTTTTTAAATAGATTTTTAATTTATTTTTAAGAAACTCAGCCTGTCTTACACTGCTGCTGCTGCTGCTAAGTTGTTAAGTTTTGTCAATTAAATGAATAGAAGTTTTATTTAAGAAGTAACATACAGTGAGTTCTACCACTAGCTTAAAATGAAGACTAGAAAGGTGAGACAATCCCTGAAGAAGCCAGTTAATTCATGAGTTACTTATTTATTCCATTATTTCATTCAAGTATTTAGGAAATTCCAAAAATGCCCAAATTTCTTATGTTGCCATGTAAGCATATTACAAAGGATATTGAAACTTATATTATCTAACAATATGATTACTATCAATTTGCTAAGAATGATACAAATACTAACAAGGAAGATCATGAATTTATGTTACTTATTACATGGCAGGTGCTGTTTCAAACTCCTTACATATATTAATTCATATAATGATCACAATAATTCTAAGATCATTAAATGCCAAGAGCTGGGTAAAACTATTGCAGTAAACTATTTGAAAGACTACTAATCCACATAACCAGAATAGTTCTTGAAACTTAGAAGATGTTCAATAAATATTTACTAAATAAATAAATACCAAATAACAGCAAGGGTCATTGTAATCTGAAGATTTTTCTCTTTCTTAAAGGGATTTTGTCACTTTGATAAATATCCTAATTATGTATTTGGGAAGGTTGTTTTATCTTGACTGCTCCTTATCTATCCCAACTCCAGAAAATCATAGACTCCTTCACTAATCAACATTCTTCATAGTAAGGTATATCAAATCCCCACAGATACTGTTAACTTTCTGCCCTGCTCTTGGGTCTGCAGTTCTCTGACTAACCGATCATCTCTGGTGTGCAGGTATTGTAACCCATGTATGGCATATTCAGCTCTATACATCTAAGAAGGTAATTTTCCAATTTCTATCCCAGTGTACTTTCTATATAATCTTATTACTTTCTGTCTTCTCTGAATACCCTTACATTATGGCTTCTGAATGTGTACTATTTACAGATAGTAAGAGTAAGCATACAGGTATCTTTATTCCATTTAGAAAATACAGACATTATATGAATATAATACTTTTTGTTATATCTACTAAGTTACTAATGTATGAGAATCATGTCATTGTATGGAGTCGATATTTGTGTACACAGTATCTCAGTGTATTTGGAATTTGTATGTGTGTGTTGTTCATATACTTGGGTCTCTAAGTAAGAATGGATGAATATCATTCTTATGTTATGTTGAATGATTTGGGTTATAAGCACTATCATCCCTGGAAGGATCTTATTATTTGTGAGACCATTCCCCATAAATAGACGAGGACACACACACACACACACACACACACACACACACACACTTTCCTCACATTTTTCTTCCCCAGAGTCTGTTAAAAAGAAGGGCAGTGTGCTTTAAGCCACTCTAAGGTCTCTCTTGTTCCTCCAGACTCCACCTAACTTGCCAACTCTTCCCTTAACACTCCCCAAGTATCCCCTTGAGCCCTAGAAAGGCCAAGTACTTTCCTGACATCTGTGCCTGTTGGGAAGCCCTCTGTGTGTGGAAAGGAGTTGTTTTTCCAGTAGCTTAGAAACAGGCAAAAGCACAAATAGGTCCATTCTGTCCCTTCTTCATGCTGAGCAGAGACACAGCAGATTTGCCTGCAACTCTCTAGGCTTAGGGACAGTACCTTCCTCCTCCTGGTCTACGTGATTTCTCTTTCCTCCGTGCAAGGTGATCATTCCTGAATGAGGCTTGGAAAAGTCATAAGTTCCATCATTGATAAAATAGTGAGTTGAAAAAAAAAGAAAGACTCAGATATTTCCAAAAGGGAAATTTGGCCAGCTTTTAATTATTCATTATTATGAAGGGAAGCAGAGTGCATATGAAAATCATTTTTATTTAAATCATTGATTCTTTGGAGCTTTCAGCTGATTGATTTTTTAAAAACAGTTTGTCATCTTTGAGTCTATAATTAGTAGTATAGCAACAGTGTGTTGTTAGGGCATAAACTATGTACATATATGAATTTCAAATCAACAAAGATTTCTTTAGCACCTATGTGTATCATGATGTATGAAAAATGTTAGGAATTCAGGGATATTGTGTAATATAGATGATCATGTCTACTACTGAAGAACACACTGTAGATGCAAAATGCCTGATTTTCTAAAAATTGCCCTCCTGAAGATATTTCAGTTTAATGCATCAGCCCCAAACTATGCCTTGCAAAGTTCAGGGTCCAGGAATATTCTGATCTGAGACAGAAAGAAAGAAAACTCTCATGTACGAGAGTACAGAGATAAATATGTGTATGTGAGGAGCAGTGGTTCGAATAGAGGTTTGTAAATATGTATGTTTGTTTTTATGTTAAATAAGGACAGGGGCTGGTGAGTGTGACAGTGCTTGCAGTTTTGATAGCTTAACTCCTTAGAAAATATAGAGGATTTCACTTCTCTTCATAGTATCATAACAGGAAGAAGGTGAATTTCCTTTTCCATTGTGTTGACTGTTCACAAAATTCATTATATGGTCACATTTATTCTCAAATTGGGATCTTGAGATCAACTACAAAGATTATCATGTTCAAATGAGACCTACAGAAATCCAACATTATTCTAAATCTCCCTAGATGGGAATAAAAATTATTTCAAAATAAAAGCCATGGTTTTGAAAATTTATAAAGAGTATATGGGGTCAGGCATATGACATATAGATTTTTTTTCATTAGAGTCTTCAAAGTCAACTCATAGTAGAGGTTGAGAAGTGCAGAAGGGTCTCTGAGTCACAGATAATTATCTTGCCCTGCTACAAACTTGGGAATTGCAATGCACATAGACCAGAAGTATATTTGTTCCTAAGAGATTCTGGGAAAAGGGAGATGGACTTATATCCTTTTAAAACTGATTTGAAGGAGTAAAATTATG